AAATGATCGTGTCATGATAGGCGTATCCAGCCCTTGTCGATGAGATCACTCATGAATGTCCCGTAATAAGCGTAAGTCATGATGATGCCCATATCTTCACTAGCCCATCTGCTCCAGCACTTGCCATGAACGGCAAACTTGGGTGGAATTGAACCGCCAGCACTCCTTCTTCACCCTTTTGTCGGTGCTTTGTATCCTCTTGGATGCATTGTTTTTGGCCGAGAAGATCCCAGAATCGTACCGAGTTATCATGAGATCCGGACACAAGTGTATGCCCAGACGGGTCAAGAGATAAGGCAGTAACCGCATCAAGATGAGTAAGCATCGAGTGGGTGCAAGTGAATGTTGATAGATCGAAGACTCGGATATTCCTGTCCTCATATCCTACAACGAGTAGCGGTAGTGCTGGGTGAGATACCATGGCGTTAACTTGGGTAGCCGGTGTCCCATCTACGTAGACTCGTCAGAATATTATATTCTAGTGATGTAGAATGATATTTACCTGTTTCATCTGCTTGTAAAGCGGCTACTTCTTTCCCTGCTTCCGCATCAAAAATCTTGACGATACCATTACGATATGCAACAGCAACCCATTTAAGGTTGGTTAGAATGGATTCGACGGCAGTTGCACCAATAACATCCTTTCCTTCGCTGTCTGATGCTGCCTCCACGCCGACGCCACCATAGCCCCAACTTGAGCGTAGAGATCCTGGACCAATTCCTCCAACGTCCCAAACCTTAACCATACCGTCCGCTCCGCAACTCACGAGCAAACTACCTTCTCTCAACAAAGTCAAGCCCCAGACAGCATCCGTATGGCCTACAAGCTCTCCACGCGTAGTTGAGGGGTCATACGGGGAATATGTAGCGTGCTGTAGCGATGGGATCGACCAAACTCTTATTGTAGAGTCTAGCGATGCCGAGTACACCAAGCCGCGATGAGGGGCGATGGCGAGGCTGGTCACCGCGGCTGAATGACCCCGAAGGGTGACTTGGGGTTCAAGTTCCGCTGTCCTTCCGGCGCTATTGACGCAATTGAGTCCACTGATAA